AACATGATCTTAAAAAATATGATTGCTGTATTTAAAATAGTTTTTAATATATTTTAAAACATTTTGACGTAATCATTTTGAGTTTCAGAGAAGAGATGAAATAAAAATATATAAAAGGGCAGTATCTCGAATTTATTGTTGTTTATCGCTTATTAGTGATTTTGATTACCCTGTTTTATATTAACAAATATAATAACAATATTTTTTTATTACAATCAACTACTGAAAGACGCAAATATGTCTAGCTCAATACTCTCATCTGAAATCTTCGCTTCGTTGTATAACTTTTTGAAAACCTCTTCCTCAGATAAAATAACCATTTCCAATATTATTACGCAAAAATGGAAGTTTTTCAAAATTCAAACGGAAGAGGAAGATTTAGATTGCCTCACGAAAATCCTAGAAAAGGCGGAAAATGAAATTGTTGATAAAGATCGTAAGAACCATCTTAAATCATTGCAGAATTTAGATCAGGTGATTTATACCACTTTGATATTCGTATTTTTGAGAATAAAATGATGAATATTACGTCTAGACGTTAATAAGTGTAATGCAATTGAAAAAGCGACCTATTGTCAGCGAGAATCTCTTCCATTACATTTATTATGATGGTGTTAAGACAATAATGCCGGCTATTTCTGATTAGGATGGATATTTGCGCAAAAAATAATGATGATTTTCTGAATTTTATTAATCCATCTCTTTTTTATAGATGCGATTTGTTAGAAACGAGCTAGTGTCATTAAAAAGATATGGGGTTCTTACGAGGAAAGTTTGAAGAAGAAGTAAATTGGAAAGATTTAGCTTTAAAAAATATCCATCTTTTAATGGATAAAATCAAGGTAATCGGTTATCCGTTTCTTTGAATTTTACGTAAACTAATTTTTTCTTCAATCTTTTAGAAAAAAGATACACCAACACACGGTTACATTTTCACAAAATTAAGCAATATAGAAGTTGATAAATTATCAAAAGATGATCCGTTGTGTATTGGGGTAATTGATCTTAGTTCAAATAAATATAATCTTTCAGAAAGTGATTATGAATCTATTGTGGTATGTGTATAATGTCTGTATTTTTGAGATCGAAGTCCGTCTGATTAGGCTTTCTAATAGGATCCTGTATCTAAGATTATCACTTTATATAAATTAATATTAACAGGGGACAAAGGCTAATATAAGAAACTTGAATAAAGATGCTGTAGTAGAGAATGTATGTAATGATTTTATATCAAAGAGAGATGAAATTCAAAAATTGCGTAAATTTGTATTGCGATCAAAAGATGTAGTGACACATGACCAATGGGTGGAATATGATCACATTAAAGAACGTATAGCAAAGGGGATTACTGATGTTCTTTTGCAGGAAATCAAATTGAATGCCCTTAATAGGGGTTCCGAAGGATCAGAAAATACATTAGTAGAGATTATAGCTCTTTTAATAGATATGGCCATGTTTTATTTGCCCGTGGATTATGAGGTAGAGGTTACGAGGTCTGAACGTCAGAGCATAGCTAGTAAAAATCGCAAAGTTCAGCAAAAAAAGGGAGCAAGAGGTAATAAACCAGATCTTATGTTCCGTGCTTATCTTCGTCAAAAATGGGAAGAAATTGTGTTTTTTGAAAGTGGAAAGTGGGATTCTGATGAAGATAAGATTCGCCATGATCATAGTAAATTGGTACAGTTCTGTTTAGATGGTTCTAAGGAGCTTGTAAAAAAATGCACAAAAGAGGTCTTTCATCAAAACTATATAGGATTTGGTGTCAATATTGCGGGTAAGTATCTCGAGATTCATGGATTGATAAAAGAAAGTGGGATAAAATATTATCTACCGGTCGTTAAAGCAAAAATACCCTTGGATAACGAATCATTTGAGGAAGTGGAAGAATTTGTTCACGCTCTATTGATTTTACGAGTGAGTATTCTTTTAACTATGCTAAGTAAATTTCTGAAATATACATTTGTCATGTAATGCTACTAATACAAAGAAAATCTACGACTTCAGAATGGGGTTATTGTAAATTTGCAGAATATTGTGAATAGTTTTCAAAAAAGATCGAGGGAAGAGGGTAATGTAGGCACTTCTTCCCATAGTACTGGAAGATTAAACAAGAAAAAACGCACAGATTTCCAGAAAGTATCTACATCTTGAATTTCAATTTGTATTTCTTTTTATTTTTATTTTTTTATATTAATAAAGCTGGCCCTGGTGGCTAATTTCGCATACATAATCTCGTTTACTTTTGCGTGTATATTTCGGGAATTTATTGATATCAATATATATTAACTCGCATATAATTGAGGGGTTTTTCACGCAGACATTAGTCCCCAGACAATAGTATAGACGTCATGTATCAAGGGCTAGGTTCCGAACATTTGTATTTATTTTTCGCATATATTAATAAAATTTTTTCTTGGCAAAACTGATCGGCGTTCCGAAATGGAACGCGCGCGTGATTTTTTATTACTCAACGTCTGCATAATTAGATGCTTCTTTTCTAGTTTTATCTATACTAACTCGATATTTGAATTATTCCATCTTGTATAATAAATATTATCAAACATGCAATCTGAGCTTGAATCGTTGAGAGAAATAAATTCGAAGCTCTTAGCCGAGATCACTGAACTTAGAAAGGAGAATGCTGAAGTCAAGGCTGAGAATATCGAAGTTAAAGCCGAGAATGCGAAGTTAAAGCATGCTTTGGAAGAACATGAAGCCAGATTCACGGATCTAGAGCAGAGAGATAAAGAGAAGACCAACCTTATTGCTAAATTAGATGATGATATCAAGGAAATCAAACAGGAGCAAATTGCTATTAATCTTTCGGTACAAGGTGATACGTCCATACCGAAATCTCCAATTAATTCAGTAACTCCCCAATCATCCGTTTCACCACCTATTGAGGGTGACTCTAATGCGAATAATAGACCCAATGTGACTCAACATACCTGTTCAGAATCTAAAACATTGGAAGAAAAAGAGGATGATGAATTCATAGATTTGGTATATAAGGAAAAAGTTAGCAATGAAATAAGACAGAAAAGGCGAGAAAAAATGTTTCAAAGTAAGTTGGTACATTCGTGCCAAGATCAGGAATTACTCTTAGACTCTGCTGATACTTCCCCTAATATTTCTCATGAGCAAAAAAATATCCAATCAATTTCTAATGAGTCGGGGGACCGCGAGCCCGAAGGAATGTCCAGTGATCAGGCACAAAGTTCCGAAATAAAAATTCCCTACAATCAGAAAGTAGAACAAGGCATAATGCATGAGTTAACTGTTTGTTCTAAGGAAAGTATCCCTATACAAGACATAGATGTGCAAATTCCTGAACTTCCCCTAGAATCAATATTGATAGTGTCTAATGAAGTTACGCCTCAGATTATAGCGGATTTATTTAATACGGCAATGAAAACTAGACAAAAAGAGAATTTATGCTGGTATTGCTACACTAGAGCATATGAAGATCGAATTAGGGATATCAAGTCTAAAAATAAAATCGATGACCAATTAGCAAGAACAATGGTATATAACGAAATCAAATTACTTCTTCCTGATATTACTGATGTGAATTTGCGCAAAAGAACTTTCAAAGCTAAAAAAATCCATACATTGTTTGAAGGAATAGGAATAGATAAAATTAGGCAAATAACTTATAGTGCAAACGCCATTTCAAGCCTAAAAGATAACCAGATTCAAAATATTATAAACAATTTCCCTAAAGAGACTTCCAAATGCCAAGAAGTGATCAGCGTTCCGAAACAGAACGCGCACATGACTGAACCATCTAGCTCAAAAGACGTATCAAATATTAAGGCAAGTA